TGTGGAGCAAAGGAAGGGAGAGAGCGGGAGGGGGGTGTATTTGGCAGCGGTTGCGCGTGGGCACCGTGTTGTTATCCAGCTTCTCAGCAGGCAGGACACGCCTTCCCTGGGCTCCGTGATTTCTGCTGCAGCACCCTTCACGGCATTACATCACCCAGTCAGAGAGCACCCAGCACCCCACAAACTCCCACAGCCTCGTGCACGTGTGCTCAACGACACCACAGACGCCTATACTTTACCAACGGCAGTACACGCAACACGCGAGCGCACGCGTACAGCATACACTCCATAAGTCTAATCACGAGTGTGCACACTAATAATAAAAAGAATAACCGACTGCTCGTGTACGCTACAGCCAAAGCACGGATATACACCTCTCAGCCACACACACACCGCCACCACCCGTTTACGTAACACCAGACAGCCTAATAGCTGAGCACTTTTTTCATTTGATTGAAGGTATTTTAATCACCTTATATTTCTCATGTTATCCAAAAACTCGGTTATTGAATTGCCCGTCATTAAGCCTAAAACCCTCATTAGAAATAACTTGTATTTTCAGGCTGACACATACAATTTTAAATGATCAGTTGTTCACAAAATTGAGATTTTTTATGGCCCAACTATGACACACTCACAACGAAAAAATGCAGAACCAAACTAAAGAAAAGAGCATTCTCCAGAATGCTGCGTATTATTTGACTCTCCCCGCCCAGTGGGATTAGTGGTACCTTGAGAGCCCTTGGCTTTTTACACTTGATTTGTCAGCGTAGTTAATCGGCTGCCAACCACGGGGGAAAAGGGACAGCCAAATTACCCGAATCACCCCCACCCTCCACACTACCACCACCACCCTAACCTTAAATTAGGATGAAGGGAAATTAAAGGGGTGTTTTATATTTCTGCATCAAACACGCGTCGTATTCTGAGGCGTTTTTCAGTATATATCAACCCAACACTGGATCACATGTTAATAATGAACACACATTTACAATCAGATTTAACACAACCTGCCGAGAAATATTTAAAAATAATCAAACGAAAGATTTTTTTTCTTCCTAGAACTGTCAGCCTCGGAGAATATTAGCCATTTAAAGTGTAGGTGATGAGACATCATTGGGCCCTTTGCAGGGGAAACAGACGCATTCTCTAGGTTTGGGTTACGCCCATCCACAGAAGCGTTAAAAAATCCAGATTAGGAATTCCCCGTGCATAAAAGCACAAAAAAAATCTAATCCTATTAACTCTACAAATCCGACACATCGAAATATGCACTGCAGCGGCGAAGAAAAAAATATCTAATTGCCATCCGCCTGAACTCATTTTCACTCTTGTTCATGGGTTCGAAGTAGAGCTGATGTTAGACGGCGTCAGATCGAGGCCTTGATTGTTATTTTGCGGCAGACGGTGGATTCTTATACAAGCGCGGGGCCTTTTGTTTTTCTCCTGTGGAAAACAGTCAGATTTGATGTAAATGAGACATCCTGCATTTGCCGCAGTGTAAAAAAAATGGTGTAAAAGGGGGAAAACAATGTCCAATTAAAATGACATTTTATTTATTTATTTATTTATTTTGTTGTTAAATGAATTCGAGCTGATCTTATAATCGGGCCCAGTTAAAACAGGCCCCTTCAGCAAATGTGGAGTGATGCAGATGAAAAAAAGTTGTAAGCTTATTGTGCGCCATGAAAGGCAGTTTGCTGAGAGGAGCAGAGCAGTCAGCAAACCTCCCTGCTGTTACTGCGGACGCCATTTGATCCACAGGGGAAAAACCAAAATCCAAAAACTCCTTTTACGGAAATGAAATTTTCCTCACATATAATCGCTATGCTCCATTTCAGCGGAGCACGTTCGTTTTCCAAGCAAATGCTAAAACTGAACCGGCTATTATTGATCTTGATAGAGTAATGTGAGGGCTTTTAAAGAATTCCGTTGAGTTGCGCTTAGCTTTAAAAAAAATCAGAAAAATGGGGGATGATTGAGGAATGTGGTGGTTATTTCATGGCGAGGAAGCGTGCAGCCTGCCGCCGCGCGCTGTCCATCTCCGGAAGGTCATGAATCAAACTGCTCAAATGACACGAAATGACATGAAGCTAAATGTAAAGATTGTAGGCTGGGTTTGTGGGGCCTAAAGGGCGTCGCAGTGTGTTTGACATTCCAGCATAAAAGCTGCAGACACGAACAATGCGCGGACACTGGACACCTGGCGTTCACCTCATCTATTATTCATCATTTTAAAAACGAGTTCTGCAGGTTTCCCTCAAAGCCCCGTTTTTCATATTCAACACGAGCATGTTTATTTGTGTATGTGTGAAATATAATGAAACGAAAATTGAGCATTTCTGTTGTAAACACCGAGAGAGCGGAGGGGGGGTGTAATTCTACACCCGCCAGTCACTGTGCGTCTGTTCCATCAGACCAATTTAGAAGACAACATGGCAGAAATTCTCATTTTCAGCCCCTCAGACGCGACTTTTCCTTCAAGGAGACTCGGCACATTCGCCGTTTCGGTGCGTAAAAATTGTGAGTGAAGGGGAAACTCCCGTAAAAGTGGCTAGTCCCGTGGTACCTGTCCGTCAGGAGTGGAAACTCGATCCGCCTCTGCCCCATATTTTCCCTGGAACATGCTCCTGTCTCAGTTCAAGTCATACGTGGATAAATGATATGGACAGACTAGACTACACAGACGACGTTACTGACCTTAGTTAAACAGACAGCCAAGAGTATCCAACTGCTAAATCCAACTCCACAGAGATCTTTTTTCCTCTTCTAGTCCAGACTTGTGTTTTTTTTTAAGCAGCAGTGTTTCCGGCGCCGGTGGTGCTGATGTAGAGACGGTACAGTGACAGCTTTATCCTTCCTTACAGGTGCGACGACCACGGTGCATCATGGGCACAAAAGCCGCTGTTAGCTCGGTGCCACTTGCAGCGGCTGCAGGCGAAAGGCGCACACGCGCGCGCCACCCAGGTCCGCCCTCTCCTCAGCACCAGTACACGCCATTTAAAGGCATACTGGTTAATAACGGCCCGCTCTTTCGCACTCACACACCTCTAAATATGGTCTTTTGCGCTTTAGGCTGGTAATAGGCTTTGTCAGGAGGTGTGGTGCTTCACTTTATCACCGTGGGTCAGCAGCATACCAGATCTTTCGGGCTTCACATGTGGAGAAGAGCATGATGTAAGGTGTAGCTGCACTCAGCCATTGATTTGTGCTGTGTTTACAGTGTAATCGATATTACTGATAACCTGACTGATTATGCATTACATTGTTTTTGTTTTAACCATAATTGAAGAATATGTGACAAAAAAGTTTTCTTTAAATTACCTTTTTTTAATAACTCCCTTTATTGTGGCCTTTCTCTGTAGCTGAGATAAGAAGATCTTCACTAAAGAGAAGCTTTATTAGAGGAGGAGCCTGTCAGCAGCAGGCTAACAGTGCTGCTATCCAAGGTGCTGAAATGCCCGCAGACACCTCATAAAATGTTTCACCTTTATTATCTTTTGCAGTGCTCACTGAGGGAAATTAATTCATCACCTGTATAATAACATGCTTCAGATTATTGGGTAGTACATATATTTGGTGGGAGAAAACACACGTTTAACAAAATGTGTGTTCCTGTTAAGACTCATGAAGGACATCCAACACTGTCAGTGCAGCAAACAGACCCACTGTTTATAATTTACTTTCTTCATCTTACTACAAGGATAAAATGACTTTGACATTATCAGAAATAAAAAGCAAACCATCCAAAAATGAGTTGAACAGCAAGTTCTAATCATTTTAACTGTGGGAAGACCTGCCCGCAAAAGCCTTATTGTTAGATGAATAGATCTGAATAAACAGAGGTAGGCATGACATGGACATTTGTTTAATCTCCCTGTGTAACCGCCTCCACACACACACACACACACACACACACACACACACACACACACACACACACACACACACACACACACACACACACACACACACACAGTCAAGCACCTGCTTTCCACCTGGATAAAGTTACTCAGGGAAACATATGCTGCTTACCTTATTGTTTTTCATTCACACTAAATTACCTCAAAGCTCTTGTATCAGATGTTCCACATTTCAGTTCATCACACTGTGTCCTACAAAGGTTCCCAGATGTTCTTTTTAACTCTACTGAAGGTCTTCCCTTTTCTTTCTGCAACACAGTGAAATGGAGCTGAATGGGCCGTCCACAGCTTTCCTGAAAGCAGTTTTTTCAAGCTCTGAAAACAGCAGGACTACAGTTTTTTGAGCAAGTGACCTCTTGTGGTTGCAAAGAAGAAGTAGAATGATGTCACTATCTGATTACAACCTCGATGAAGACGTCAACAAAACAAGTGATTTTCTCTCCACTATTTTCTTTCCTTACATTAAACATGTTTTCTTCAAAGTCCTTGAAGCAAGTTTTACATTTGCAAACTATCTGTAAACACCTTTAAAGCTAAATCTGCTCAAACACATTTAAGTATTGAAATTTCTTGTCATTTGCCGACAATCTTGTTCCTTTTATTTTTCAATACAAAAACAAACAATGCTAATTCTATGAAAACTGAGGGATAAAAAACATGCTATCAAACTTTTCACAATCATATTAAATCATTTGTTTGGCTCTGCACTTTCAAAATTAATCAAATATAATTTCATAATATTTCACAATATATTTTGAAACATTAACTAAATTAACCTGAATGAATTTAATGTGACTGGTTGTAAACTGTGACAGACTGGAGAACTCTTCTGGGTATACCAGACTTGCCCTTTGTAAGCTGGGATAGTGTTTCACTGTGTTGACAGGCTTTTGTTCTATTGTCTGTCACAATGAACCCACAGAGCTTCAGTTATGTTGAGGCTCTGGACAGGCCAATCCACAACCGATAGTTTTCCATTGTGGATTTTTCCTGTTATGGTTTTAACACATTGGCAGTTTCTTTGGGATTCTTGTCATAATGAAAAGTCGGTGCCATGTGGAAAGATGTTTTCAGATGGTTTTATATGGTTGATCAAAATCTGACAGTATTTTTTTGCTTTCAAATATCCATCAATTTTAATAAGATCATGAGCACCACTTCAGCCGGTTTCCTTTCCTTAAGAATGTAAGCCACCTTTCTATTGAGGCCGTTTCTCAGTGAGTCTGTCACCTTCGTGCCAAACTTTATTGCTTCATTAGGAAATATAGTCAGGTCGCCTTAGTTGTGGTATACCAGTGGTCAGAAATACCATTATTACTTTAGTATTACTTTAACACAAAGTCAGGGCTGACCCAGGACCAGTGCTGTGAGTCACACTGCGCCGCAGAAGTGCTGTCGCTCCTCCATCTCCAAAACCTTCCAGGACCTGATGCTCAGCAAAGTGTCCTCCGGCAGCCAAACCCATCTGTTCTCTGATTGGATTGTTAAATTTGTGATAGACATGACATTAACCAATCAGCTGAAAGGAAGAAAATCCTGCAGTCTGAAGTGCAAAATATTTACGACCACAATGTGATTCCATAGTGTTATTACTGTTCATAAAAACAGCTAAATGTCATACAAATTCTTTCCTAGCTGTGATTAACCAAAAGGTTTATTTGAGTTCATTCCACATAAAAACAAGAGTAAAGAATGTAACACAATTTCAGTTTAGTGACCTGTAACAGGGGAAGAACATCAATGAATGCTAGAGTTACATGTTTGTATGGAATGAATGATTTACTCTTTACATTATGGAACCAAGAACGCTTTGTAAGTGATTTACTCCACATTTACAAATAATCTATAACAGGTCAGGAACAAGCGCCTTTTTCCTGCTGCACTTGTTAGTCCAGACAAGTAAATGACAGCTACAAACTTCAGGGACACACATGAAGTTTTTAGCTGCCATTTATTTGCATTTCAGGGGCTTTCCTGGAAGGTCTCACACACTTGACACAAAACCCAAGTGGCTGATGAGCACAGTTTAAAAATGTTCTTTGACATTTTAGATCAATTATACATTTAATATAATTTGCTCAAAAATGTAAAATGATCTTGATCATTTTGTACCTTTAATTGGTAAATATATCAACAAACAAGTCAGATACTTATCATTTACTGCTGACTTGTTAAACATTTCAGTTTAATTCTTATTTAATTTATTCTTATTTCCATAGTGCCCAATCACAACAAACGTCCCATCAAGGTACATTATACTGTAACGTTGCGTTCAGCTGGTGCCCACCAAAGCCTGGCGTATACCTCCATTGCACCTTAGTGGACAGGAGTGTCTCAGGTGTCTCAGGTCACCCTCCCCCAATCCAGAAGGGATGTACAGCATTCCACTAAGGTGCAATGGAGGTATACGCCAGGCTTTGGTGGGCACCAGCTGAACGCAATTCTGATCACTAGTTAGACCCTCTGTTGTTTACAGTGTGGGAGGTGCTCCAGGCCATGTTCAAGCCCAGCTAAAAATGAGAGTCAATATGTTCTGGGCCTGAGGGCAAAGCTGCACACTTTGGGGAGATTGTCACGAGAAAATTTGTTCCAGGCCCAGGAACGTCAGCAGTGCCTGTACAACAGAGGGGTTAGGCAGTTTTCACTGGGAGATAGTGTGCTTGTGTTACTCACTTGTTCGAGTGTCCCTTCGTGGTCACACTGCGAGTGGGGGACGTAGACTATGAAGTGGTACAGTCGGACAGGGGAGGACCCACACAGGTATATAACCTCAACCTCCTTAAAGCATGGGAAGAGGCTGAAACCGTTTTTCTGGTGAGCATGTTTAATGAAAGACATGAGTTGGTGCTGGAGGTGCAATCAGCAATTCCCACCTCCCTCCATTGTGATGACCATCACACAGGCCTAAAGAGCAGATGCTGCTGCATTGCAACAGCAGTTTTCAGATGTGTTCTCCCCCCCTGCCCAGCCATACCAATCTCATAGAGCACTGTTTTGACACACTGGGTGGTGTGATGCTGGGTTCATGGCCCTACAGGTTAGCTGAGCATAAGATACAAACTGCTCAGAGAGAATTGGCTGAAATGCTGAAAATGGGTCTAGTAGAAGAGTCGCACAGCGCTTGGTGTAGCCCCATAGTTCGTGTGGTAAAGAAGCATGGGTCTATGTGGTTCTGTGTCGACTACCACAAAGTGAACGAGGAGTCACAGTTCGATCCTTATCCCACGCCCTGAGTTCATGGCTCAGTTTTTTAGGGCAGCCCTGACTGAGCCCATCACCCACCAGGAACAAATCCGACTTATTGCCAGCTAGGTGGGCCAATCTCTTGCAACGGTTGTATAGGGATCGAATGGCCCATAGCAATGGGCCAGACACCGCATACTCCCAGAGAACTCCCCACAGGACCCCCCAAGGGACACGGTCAAATACCTTCTCCAAGTCCACAAAACACATGTAGACTGGTTGGACAAACATGCGCCCTCAAGTATCCTGGAGAGGATAAAGAGCTGATCCAGTGTTCCACGACCAGGACGAAAACCGTATTGTTCCTCCTGTATCTGAGGTCCGACTAACGGACGGACTGTCCTCTCCAGCACCCTGGTGCCAGTGGACACATGCTGACAATTTTCTCAGTTGAAGTCAGCAGCATTCCACCCGCACTATACACAGTGCAGGTAGAGCACCGCTTTCCCCTCCTGAGACCCCTGACGGTTTGCCAGAATCTCTTCGAGGCAGTCCGAAAGTCTTTTTTAATGGCCCCTCCGAACTCCTCCCACACCCGAGTTTTTGCTTAAGCCACTGCCCTAGCCACGTTCCGCTTGGCCTGTCGTTACCTATCAGCTGCCCCTGGAGTCCCACAGGCTAACCAAGGCCGATAGGACTCCTTCTTCAGCTTGGTGGCTCCCTTCACCAGAATATATGGCCAAAGGTCTGGTGATACGATTACAAAATCAGTCATCAACCTGCGGCCTAGAGCGTCCTGGTGCCCCATGGACTTGTGGACACTCTCATGTTTGAACAAGGTGTTCGTTATGTACAAACTGTGGTTTACATAGAAGTCCAATAACGAAACACCGCTCGGGTTCAGATCCGGGAGGCCGTTCTTCCCAATCACGCC